ACCAGTTTGCTAGGGCCGGGGTGGGTGGGGGTGGGGGATGACTTTGCTGAGAAACCTGTTACCAAAGAAGTATTTTCAGCCTGCAAGAAAATATCTCGTTGTGCACATCCCCATCCTTAAAAAACACCCTTCCACGCTTTCTTTGTTGTACTCTAAAAAGAGAAACACAAGAGCAACCATCTGAAAGGGGGGGGGTGAAGGCAAGTCATAAACTGCTAGAAAGAATTGGCAGCTCAGGCGACGTCAGGGTCTGAGTGCTGTGTGCTGGAGCCCAGAGAGCAGGGCCATCAGCCATCGCCAAGGTCCCCAGGCCACAGAGAGGGGTGGCCCTGGCTACTCACTAACTGAGGCCCATTTCCTCAGGTTTTACCCCAAAATGAGTTGAACAGGCAGACCATGAAAGTATCTTAGGATGTTCATCATCATATCCTAAACTGTGTACAATGGCTTTCAAGGTTTTCTGGGGGGGGAAAATCCTCACTCATTATTTCATGCCAGTGTCCAAAAGTTCTCCACACCTACAGAATAACCGCTAAAAACGGCTGGCTCCTCGCTGAGCATAGTCCGGAAGGGCTTGCCCACTCGTGCTGTGGAAGCCCCTAAGGGCCATCTCTTCAGGTCCTTTTGAGGGAGAACAAGAATTCAGTCTACTGAATGGGCCCTTGGCCGCGAGCTCCTTTGCCTATGTGTCTGTGGGCAGGGATAAGCACTGGGCAGGAGCTGTGCCCTTTCTCCGTCTGCTGGCACTGCCCGGGTGGGGGGAGCCCAAAAGCAAGCACTCAAAGGTGATTGGATGAATAAAAGTTAAAATTCCAAAGACTCCCATCCACAACAGCCAGAAGACCTCTTCGGCCCATAGATGCTTTGTGGTCACGGGTGGGAGAATGCCTGGGGGGTCCTTACTGGACACGGCACCCAGAGTTCATGCTCCGAGGAGGCGTCAGGACCTGCCAGGCCTAGGCTCTCGTCTTCCTGCCACTGTGTTGCTCCTGTGTTAGCCAAAACCTAGACTACTGGGCTTCTTCGTTGGAGACTCATGACAGCTTATCTCTATCTGCCTTTCTTTAAAGCCAGCTGAACATACCCAATGCTCTCCCTCTATGGTAAGACCAACCCTCCAGACCACTCTCCCAGCTTCTGTGACCACCCTTTCTGACACTCCTCCCACCCCACCCCCACTTTGACCCATCCCCACCCCAAGAGTTTCTCAGAGCCCAGCCTAGCTCCTGTTGCATGTAGCCCCCATGTTTGTGATGTGCCTTGCCTGCCTGCCTGGTCTTTTGTCAGCCGTGGGAATGCTGTACGTGTAACGGTGTTCTTTTACCTCCCTGAGCTTCCCTTGGGGTGATAATTCACTGTGATCCTAACCGATCCACGAGCCACTCGGAGAGAATTGGACCCAGGTCATTTCCTGTTAAAGCACCCCTGGAAGCTTTACTGGCTAAAGTCTCTAACCTGGATGGGAGGTGGTGGGGTGGGGGGTGGGGGGATTGAGGGGTGGAGAAAGCACCTGGGAGAGCCAGGGGACAGGCCTCCAGAGACAGGGAAAGACTGAGAAGATTGAGCCTAGAGACGGAAAGGCTGGTGGAAGTGCCCAGCATCATAGTGCTGGTGCCCCTCGAGCTCACAGTCCAAGCCCCGGGGACGGGCTGACGCTGGGAGTTGTCGCTAGGGGGCACAGGGGGTGTGACAGAATTGCCAGTGGCTCCGACCATGTCGCAGTTTTCCTCCATGCCCAAAGCTCATTGGAAGTCGGCTCCGCCCCTTTCGCCTCCGCAGATGCTGGATGTACACCAGGGGGTTGGGTGGTTTGGACTATTCCTGATAGAGGGGCCGATGGCCGGCTTGGGCTCAAGTGACTGAGATGCCACTCGTGATGACCTTGAGGTCTCCTTGGAACCGCTGCCTCACACACTTCGAAACGGGGGGCATGCGTGTGTCCAGAAAAGGGCCCATGCATTGATCCCCTGAGCCCCCAAATCAGCAGGTTGGGGACAAATTGAGGCCGTTGATGGCAGCAGCCACCCTAGCCGGGCTGAACAGCAGACAAGGGAAGGCTGACGTCGGATGGGCTGTCACTCTTCACAGGGACAGCCTGTGGACCTGTTCCG